CTCCTTGACCTCATGGGGTCACCGGTGGGGACAGGGACTGTGCCACTGTGCTCCTCACCAGGGCCATGGGACCCAAAGGACTCTGTTCACACAGGCACTGCCCTGGAGCTTCTGCCTTTGTTTGCATTGGGAGAGCTAGTACTTAAGCAAGGTGCTTAATGAAAAATTTTGCAAGACCAGGACATGAGGGGCACATTGTAGTGTCAGCAGAAAATGCTTGTGGAGGAGAAAGATTGAAACTATTAACCCCCTTTTTAGTGTCTGGTTCATTGTGCCTTTGGGATTTGCCTTAAAGCTGCATTCTGTGGCACCTTATTTATTTATACTGTGTTTAGCAATCCTTGCTAATGCTGTGTTTGAACAGTGAATGGGGCGAGAGGATCTCTACAGTTCCCTTCCAGCCTCAATTATTCTGTAATGCAGATGCACAGAGATGCCTACAAAGACTTCTGGAAAGAATAAATGAAGCAGAACCTCTTGGCCTCATTGGAAAACACTGACACAGGAGAAAGCTCTGTGGTTGTATGTACAGAAAGGGCCAGTCTTTGCTTACTAGAGATAGGTTTGCATGACTTTGGAATGAAATACTGAAAAAGGCTCATCAGTTCATTACTAAATGATCATTCAGTGCTTGCCTCTGCCTTGAGCTCAGTTTTTGGAGAGCAGCTTGTGGAGTGTCTTTGAACAAGAGTTCAAATGCAGTAGAGCAGAGAAGTGTTTCTGGAATAGCTTTGTAAAGTTGTTTTTGTGCTTTGTTACATTTGGAATCTGTGTTTGCTGAACCTTGTGGTGTACCTGGGTTGTGTTTCTTGTGAAAGTTACTTGGACGTGACCTCACTGCTTTTACCTGGGCTTACACCTCGAGTCCTAAGGACTAGATGTTGGATGCTCACACTTATTTGGAGTGAAACAGAAATTTTACAAACCTTGGGTGCCTTCCATTTGCAGCCTTTTGATTTACTTTTATTAAACAATTATAGCTGGATTTGCCTTTTGGGGAGTCTTTGTTTATGGCATTCTGAGCTAACAAAGCCCAGCTAAGCCGAAGGATGGATTATTGAAAAATCAAAGCTAGCTCTCCTAATTGGGACAATGGAGCCTCGCCACGACACCTGGGAGGCCCACGCTCCAATATGATAAAGTATTTTCTTTGAGAGAAGGTCACCAAAAGTTCACTTTTACAGAGAAGTTCTTATTCTCAGTTAATGGGGCTCCCCGTAGCATGGTCCTGCAGTTGCTTCACATAAAAAGGATGGATTGTCAAAGAAATTACCTTTAAAGTTCCTCCCCGGCAAACTGATTTGAAAGGACAACCCAAGTGTTCTGTCCTGGCCAGCAGAGCAGTCCATGACCCAGCCACACAAGCTGTTGTGCCTCTTTGCACTTTTGCAGCTTAGGATTTGTCAGCAGTTTGACTGGGACCCCTTGTTTCTGGGCAAGCGCCATTCTTTGGGGTTGAGTTTTATAACAGAATCTCCTGCCTGGGTTTTAGAGCAAGTCATTTAATCTTTTCATGCTGTGGAAATGAAGACATTTCCAGACCTTTGGGGATACAACGTGCTTCTCATATCATATGTGAGATGGGGTAGGTCCTTTTTTGGTCCTGAAGAACTAAAGACAAAATCAAAACACACAAGCAGAGCCAGACTTGGCGCTTGTTTTGTGTGTGTTACGTGTGTAATTTCCTGCACATGTAATTGATCCCCAGTCATAGCTGGGCCCAGGCCCAACTGTAGAAGACTGTGGGGATTATTCTTTCTGATCCCTTTCTGACTTAGCTGACTCATTTTTCCCAGAGAGGGCAGAGATGGGAGTAGGGTGAGAGAAGTGTGTGACTTAAAATCAACATCATCTGCTGGCAGAAATAGGTATGGGCTGTTTGGGCTTGCTTTAACTTGATTATTCATAGAAGTGCTTGAAGAAAATTTTATAGAAATTAAGTTATCTTTTTAAAATTATTTTGATTTTGCATAGAAGGAAAAAATAAGAATATCAGCCCAAATGTTAATTTTGGTTTTGGCTCCAGTGGAGCTACATTGATTTTTTTTATGCTATTGGCATTGCACTTCTGCAAATTAGAACACTAATTGGAGCATTGTTACCAAGTCATTATTTTAATTATTATTTTATTAGATTAAATCTCCTCTAAGAAACATTGTGTCTCAGAAGATGACACAGTTTTTCATTGGAAACTGGTAGAACTTTGTTCCCATTCCAAACTTGCTCAGTAAAAAGCATTGCAAGTATGCTCTTGGATCCATGATCTTGATGTACTAATTAGGCAATTCCCAATATTTAAATCTGATAGACTGAATTAAAAAGCCGCATGTCTGTTCTACTGGATTAATTTGGAGGGGTGTTTCTACCTAGTTTTTAGAGTAGACAGTTGCATTTTTTATGCTATAGAAATGAGGATGTTTCTAAAGTTTTGGATGTTTAAGGATTCCAGCAAAAAGGTTTGGGACCCAGCTGAGAGGAGGAGTTGACCCAAGAACACTCTGAGCAGTGCATGATAAATGTCAATCTGCTTCATGGTCAGTCATGTAACAGCTGCAGAGTTCATTTTGCAGCATGAGCTCGGACACAGATCTCCTGGAGCTTCTGGAGGAGGGCACAGGTTGGGGTGGCAGTGAATTAGCAGGGCTGCAGGATGATTTTTTAAAAAGCAGTGACCACTAGAAGGTATCTGGGAAGTGTGGTTAGCAGCAGAAAATCAAGTTGTGCTCTGATGTGCAAAGCTGGGATGGCCCTTCCTTTTATATGCTTCACTAATACTGTTGAGGATAATTAAGTATGTAAGTTAATAGACCATTTTCAACTCCTCTGGGACTGCTTGGAGTCTTTCAGATCACGTAAGTGGGCTCTGTGGCAGGCCTGTGTATTAAAGCCCTCATGCTTGAGTGTGAAATCAGCCCGGCCAGCCTTTATATGTGACCCCTCCTTAGTTTTTTCACTTCGGTCCCTCCATTACCATTAGTTTTTCCAGTGGCCAGTTTTGTGTTTCTGATGCCATAAACTGGGAGTGAGAAGATTTCCCCACAGAAACCCCTGAATTTGGTGCTACTTTATGCCACCTGGAGAAAAGGGGTGTTAATTCTGCGTGTTTGCATTTGAACAGCGAACACATCTCCATAAACCCTGTGTGGCTGAGGTGCTGCACTCATGCAGAAACCACCACTCTTCCAGCTGAACTCTGGCTGGGAGCTCACAGAAGCTGTTCTGATGAAACCCCAAGCAGAATCTTTGGTATTTTGTCACATTAAACAATTTACATTCAATAAACCCAGGGGCCTTGGGATGGACGTACAGCATCTGCTGTGTCAGTCTCTGCCTCACTTTTGTTTTTTGAGTTTTCTAATTAGTTTATATTCTAATAAATCCTTAATACAACAACTGCTTTAAAACAATTGAAAATAAAACAAAGAGAGGAATTTAAATTGCTTATGGCTTGCTTTGTATGGCTTGCAGGCATTTGAGCAATTTTGCTTACAAGTATCCGGTAACCTATTTCCAAAGGCCACTAGCAGATAATTATATTTGGTTAATTTACATACTTTCAGTTTATAATCCTAATTAGTTCTCCAACCAGCAGTCCCTAGGCAATATGTAGTCTTACCTCATTTTATTTGCCATCCCTACTGTGCAAGTTCTCTTAATTTACAAAAAAATGCTGTTAGGTTTGGTTCAGGGCTTTCCCATTTCAGAGCACATCCAACCCGGGTGATTCCATGCCGATTTAGACCCTATTTGCAAACAACTATTTTACATTTTTATGGATTTTACATCTGGGAGACATTCTGCAATTTAGGGAAGCTGACCCTGGTTTGACACAGAGCCTGTTTGCATCGCAGAGAATCAGGTCAAATTCTACACCAACCTGTACCCAGAGTGTCCCACTGTCCTCTCTGGTTTGATGAAGGGAAATGTGTAGGCAAAGGATAGGGACTGAGGTGTTGGTCTGTGAACAGGAGCAGGGATGGGTGTGGGACAGCAGGAATGACTAATGGCTGTGTGAGAGTTCTGGGGAGCTGCTCACAGGCACTGCTCAAACCTCTCAGGCTGCTTGGCAGCTGCTTGTTCCCCTTCTGTGTATTTAGGATCTCTCCCTGTTTACTTATTATTCTGGGATCAGTTCTCACCCAAGCTTGAGACTGTGCCCAGTAAAGTGACTGAGGAGGAAGGGAAAAGGAAGAGGATGGAAATGAATATTTATCCTTTCAGGTGACACTCTCTTTAGCTCCCATCAGGTTAAAATGAACTTCAAAGAACATGTGGAATGGAAGGAACACATCTCCCAGTGCTGGTCCCTGCAGGAGTCTGAGTATCTGAGGCTGAAGCTGGGTTTCCAGCTGGGAAAACCCACCGCACTGTCCCACAGCTGGATGGTGCCCCAGGACCCCATGCCCAGGTGTGAGGAGGTTCTGCTGCTCTGCAGGGCTGTGTGGCACTGGTGGGTGGTGTGTGGGTTTGGGTACAGCCTGTAATACCCCAGGAGACACAATCTCCACTCTTCCCTGGAGATTTCTTGCCTGAGATGTCCTGTGGACAACTGAAACAATTTCAGTGTTACCTTTTAAGCACTGGGGGATGGACTGTAATGTCACTTTTAGAGAGCTGTTGGATGAAATATTTCCTCTTAGGTATCCAAGGCTGCTTTCTGGTCAGATTCACTGTGCTGTAATGAGGCCAAGTTTGGACTAAACACAGTGGTCATTTCCAATGTGTTCTTGCAGGTAGTAAAAGGACCCCAAATCTCCCTTTTCAACACCACATTAAGCACTTTGATAGGGCAAATGAAAAGTGTGATGATAACTGAAAAAGGAAAAGGAAGATCTGCAATTTGCAAAGCTTTTCTTCAGATTTCCAGGATAACTGATGGATTCTGTGAACTGATGCTAATTCATAAATCATAGTGCTGGAGGATAGAGGTGATTTTTAACTGTCCAAAAATAGCAACAACTGTTTAGGGAGGAAAAACTCAAAAGGTGTGAGAGTAATTCTTGGCCAATACTTTTATTTCAACATCTTAAAGAATGTAAATTTTATACTGTTGATGCTTTGGTGTAACTTCTGCACATCACACTTGAATTCCCAAATACGTTTCTGCTGTTACACACATTTATACAATGCTCAGCATTTATGCAACTGGTGCCATTAACTGTGAGGTTAATCCAAAGGAGACTGTTTTCATGAGGAACACCTTGATGATAATTATTTATTAGAACATTTCAAATCTTACTCCAGTATTTAGAGTAGATTTAGTATTTAAACCTATCTAGACTAAAGATGGTTTAACCGTTCTTTCATGCCTGCTTTAAGAATTTTTATTCCACACTAATCAGAGCTCTGCCTGTGCTGCTGAGTCTGTGTGCTTTAGTATTTTGCTATGACTCTCATGCCTGCAGTTGGGATGAACAGAACACGAACTCAGAGAAAAGCAGATTTGAGATAGAAAATGTCTTACACTGAAAGCAGTGTGTGTGCAAATCCTGTATTCTTCCCACTGTACCACTTGTGATGATAATGGCTGGTGTACGTCAGGTGAAATCCCGGCTCGAACAAAGTCAATACAAAAATCTTTCACAGGCTACAGTAGGACTAGCACTTTATCCCAGAGGAAAATAAAAGAGTTTGAAGATAAATTTGCAGAGGCTTATTGACATGAGTGCCAGATTACGTGGGCTGAAAGTGCATTTTCGGGTATGTAGAAGTTTACTGTGGAGTATGGCAGACACACATTCAATGGCAATTCAGTGCTAGCCCACAGAGGGAGGGGAAAAACCCCCGAACAAATCTGTTGTTTCCTTGTTGGCGACAGACAGAACAGGCACCAAGAAGCTGTTAATCTCTCCCCTTCTAACTTTTTACTTCTATCAGCAAGATTTTAATTTTTGTTTTGTATAGTTATGACAGAAGAGTCCAGAACAAAAACTTAGAAGGCTTTCGAAGCAAGTTTTCAAGGGAAAAGGGGATGGGGAATCTTGAAGCTATTCATGAGTGTACATCACCTGATCCAGCATGACATTCCAATTTATATCTGAATTCTTAATCAGAAAAAGAAAAAAAGAAGTGTGATACCTCTTTGACACCACTTTGTCTTTTTTCACCATCTCTTTTAATTCATATATTTATTTGCTATAACTTATATATGCTTTAAATTATGTACTGTCTGTTTTTAATGTACACCCACACCAAAGTCTGTAGGTGGGTCTTATATACTGCTAACCAACCACAAACCACAGCAAATCAGGAGAGTAGAAGTCCTATTTCTTTCTTACAGTTCATCTTAAATACCTTGTGAGTTGAAGATAAGCATTGCTTGGTTCTGCTCTTGGCGGTCCTTGCACTTCTTCCTTGCCTCTTCCCTCCATCTCTCCTTCCCTCAAGAAAACCTTAATCCAAACTCCCCCCAAAGTCAGGATGCTGATTATTCCCTCAGGTTTGGTTCTACTGGGTGTCCAGGCATTTCTGCAGCATGGGAGCTACGCTGAGAAAGAATATTCTTGGTGGTGAAACCAGAAGGGAACAAAAAGAATTTAAAGTAGTTTGAAATATAAAACAATAATTTATTTTACTTCATTTTACTTGTTAACGTTTGTAGCTAATGATGATTTCATGAAACTGCTTTTATAATTCAATACATTCAAATCTATAAAGCAAACAGTTACTACCATGGGCTTTTCAAATTCCACAAACTGTCGTATATAAACAAATTAGCTGTACATGCACGTTTCTTCAATAGGTTGCAACATTTGCAAACATGCTTTAAAATCCTTTAAAGCTGCAGTATAGTGTACTTTGCCTCAGGCTTTTCAGATGAAACCTATATACTTTCTTCAGAAACCTTAAAAAGAAAAATGTTTAAATGTTGAGCATAACTCTAAAAACTGCTGTTTGATAAATGTTAAATATTACAACAGAATGACTCTGAGTTTAAACCTTGAGCTAAGTATTGATAAACAACACTGTGTAGAAGTGAACAACAGCAAAATAATATCACAAAATATGGTTTCAAAAAAAAATACATAAGTGCAGTTGCTCTTGTGGGTTTCTTGCATTTTTTTTAGGTTAAGAGAAGCACGGGTACCTTTTAATATGAATATAGTTTAAGCAAATTACCTGTGTAAGTATGGTTAATACATTTCTGATATTTAAACACTTCATGTAAAAGGTAACAAGTAAAAAAGTACAATCAGTATTCCAAAAAGCACTGCTAATATTGCCTTTGAAGGAGATGGGCAAGCTTCCTCTCCACTTTATAATGGAGATCCTGGCACCCACAGTTGCAGAGTTCAGTATTTGAACTATAAACTGGTGACTGTATCTTATATACAAAAATCTTGCCACATTGAACGAGGCATTGATTCCTACCCCAATGGTAGTGTTTTATGTACATAATTTAGCACTGGTGATTATACAGTAGTCACTGACAGGAAGGAATTGTACACCCGTGTGCCGTCCGGTGACTTTGTTCCGTGGGTTAGCAGTTCTTGGATTGTCATCCAATTGTCAAATATTTTTTTATTCCTCTTCTTCATCATTTTTTTGTGGCTCAGTTCAATGATGTTCATCTCTTTCTTTTCTTCCGCACCTTGCTGCTCCTTTAAGCACTCTAACCTGCTCTGCATCATAAACTCACGCCTCCTCCTCTGCTCCTTCGCCTTCACCAAATGCTGCTTCCGCTCTTCCTTGCTCCAGTAACGGCCCATCTTCATCTCACTTATGGCATCATCATCAGTGGTCATCCCACTGCGCTCCTCCTTGATCTTTATGGCGCGTTCCCTCAGCAGCCTGTCCCTGACCGGCCTCTTGGTGATGTACCGGGTCCCGTCGCTCCTGACCTTGACTTTCCACTCCATCCTCGGCTCGCTCTGGCCCGAGCTGAAGTCTTTGCACATACTCACCAGGCTCATCTGGCTCTGGGCATACTCCACGGCGGATTTCTGCTGGATCAGCTGCATGTAGCTCTGATAGTGCTGGGCGTGGGCAGGGATATGAGCGTGTTTATACGGAGAGTGGTGATACGGGGACGTGTAGGAGCCAGAAGGCTTCTGACCGTGTGTAGGGCTTTTGCTTCCATCACTGGCTTTTCTCTCCTTGCTCTCCAGCTGCTTGCCGAGGTCGGGATCTTTAGCAGAGGCGTGGCATTTACCAGCGCTGGATTCGTGGCTTTCCGAGCCGGCAAACAAATTCTTTTGGGAGGCATTATGTGCCGCTGCCCCCTCGTTACCTTGACAGTTAACGCCTTCCGCAGTTCTGCGCAGGGAATTGTCGGGGGAGATCTCCAGCGTGAGGGGTGTGCTCCGGCAGCTCTCCCCGGTGTTGTAGGCGCTCGAGCTGTCCTTGTCAGACTTCTCCGGGAGCTCCGTGATGTCCGAGAGCTCGTGCCTGCGCACGTCGATGCTCGTGTTGTAGTTGCGGAAGCCGCTGTTGTGCAGCATCCAGGGCTCCCGGTACTGATCCTTCAGCTGCTGCATCTTGTGAGCCCTCACGATGTTCAGGCACTCCAGCTCGATGTTGCGCAGCTCCTCGTTCAGCATCTCCAGCTCCCTGTCCACGCTCTCCTGGTCGCTTTTGCTCATGTCCAGGGTGCTGTTGTGGTAGTAGAGGCTGTAAGGGTTGGCAGACTTCACCTGGCACTTCAGCTCCAGCAGCTCGCGGAACCGCTCGCACTCGTCCACGGGGATGCCGAGGAAGTCGACGTCTGTGCAGTCGGCCGAGATAAACGACTCGTTGCTGAACTGCATATCGCCGCTCCCCAGGGTGTCGTGGCTGTACGTCAGCTTCTTCTGGCTGCCCAGGGTGTTGGAGGACGTGGTGTGATCGTCCCCGTTGTTCTCCTGCTCGGAGCTCTCGTCGTTGCGGGTGCTGTCGTCCGTGCGCCCCACGCCGCTGTCCTTCTCGTGCTGGTTGGATAAAATAGTGGCTGTGTCCGTGGTACCTCCGTCCTCCTCATGCTTCTTCTAACAACAAAACAGAAAGAGGAATTACTGCAAGGACACAAAATATTTCAGGGTGTTTATTTTTTAATTGTTTTCTTAATCTGTTGCTTTTTATACTTTTTGCATCTTTGTCTTGCATGGAAGGAATATTATTAAGAACTCATAGAAATGGTGACCAAGCCCTCAGCCTGCTGTGGATGCCCCTTTCAGAAGAACCTGAGGTCTGTGTTTCAGTTATGTAGCAATGATGGTAAACCACAAATTTTGAAATGTTTCTTCTCCCACTTAATTGCACAGCAATATCCAGTTCCACAGCAGTGCCAAATTGAGAGCATGTCTCTGCACTAAATGTGGATGCCACAGAGGACGTAGAGTTTTAGAAAGGTTTAGAAAAAACTCTAGACAAAAATTGAAAAACTGTTCAAGAACTGCTTTGATCATGGCACAACAATGGGGAATACAGGCCCAAATCTGTGGCCATGCACAAGCTTTGCTGTGTAAAACCTTTTTCTTTGCCTTTCTCCCCTCATGTAGATCTTACTTCAGTAATTTGCCTGAGTTCTCCATTTGGATTTTCAGGTTTTGGGAGGCAGGCTGTTCTCAGTCTGTATGCATATCAAACAGGAAATTCTAAACCCCAGCTCTCTGCCTGCTCTATCCACCACACACCCAGTACTTCTCTCAGTGACCACAGTGGATTTCTAAGAACTGTGACTGTGTTTTGTAAGGGGCAAAGCACAAAAGGTAACATTTTAAAACATTTTGCTCCCTGAGATGAAGTTGTGGATAGCTATGTAATATTCTCATTTTACATGAAGTCCTTTTGCCTTGATCTTGACTTAGTGTCACTTGAGACACGCCAAGTGTATTCAGCCAAGCTCAGTATTGGAATATTGAGTGCAGTGGGAAGTTTGACAGCACTGCACACCAGAAGGGCAGTACCTGCTGAAGCATGCTGGCAGTAAATTGCATTGCCTGGTGGTGCTGTTCCTCTAACATGTCCATGTGCAAGTCATCCAGAAAATCATTTCTGTCATCATCCATCCATCCTTCATCCAGCTATGTGAAAAGGGAGGGAAAAAACAAACCAATTGTTGTCAAAAGAATGAAGACTGACATAAATTAGATTTTTCTTTGTGGAAAGTGACTGGGAAATCTCAGGGGATTCCTTCCTGTGACAGTGCTGCCGTGTCCTGAGAAGGAGCACACGTGTCCCTGTGCTAAGTGTGGGTATTGACTGTCCTACCTCCCCCCACAGCTGCCTCCATCTCCAACAGCATGGTTTTATCTTCAACAGCCCTTTACATGTGATAAAACTCCAGCCTCTTCATCCATGGAAATAATTCTAAGAGTTGGGGCTGTTTTGGTTTTTGCACAACTTGATTAGGATGTATAAAAACGCTCTGAGCCCAAAGCTTGAACACAACACTTGTGAGGCAGCATCAAGGGCCAGAGGGAAAATCTGGCTGGGGTCTGTAGGACTTTTTTACTCCCATCCCCAATTATCTCTATGGGAGAGATCAGAAACTTCCAGGCTAACAGGACAGTGATGATCCTGACCCTGTGTCTCCAGGTGCCCTGGCAAGGGCTGCTCCCACAGCACCAGGAGCAGAGACAGATCAAACAATAATGCTCCTGGCTGTTTGTTCAGCACCTTTGTTGTGCTAATCCCTGCTCTACAAAGGGATCTGGTTCAACCTTTTATTATAGCTGAGGAGGCTTCTTGACAGTGTTCAACTGCTTTAAGAGGTGGTGTATGCAGGGCTAAATAATAGGTGTTTTAATGAATGAATAATCGATGGCTGTAGGAGTTAGAGTTCAGGATGTTCTTCAAAACTGGGGCTTAAAACCATTCATAATACCTTGCACTGATGTTTGTAATAGCATTGCAGCACATATAAATCACTAAATGTCTTAGAAATTGAACTTTAATATAAAATATATACATATAAGTACCACGACTGCTGAATTCCATTATTTTAGACCAAATATAAGTCCAGTCAAACTGGTCATATATATACTATAATACGGTTTCAGATAGATTGGTAGACTTAGGTAGGTCAGAATTCTTTGAAAGAACTGCTTTCTACAAAATAGCAACTGTTTTAATTAAGACTCAAGTAGAGTGTTTTTTTTGTCGTTGCTACAGTACCTGAATTTCTGGTCTTGCCACAAGCAAGGAGATATTCTTGCTCTCCTCACTGCTCAGAAGTGCCACAGCTTCCTCTCGGTTCTGCACCTCTATGCCGTTGATCTTTGAAAGAAAAGAGCAACACCATGAGATGTTCTCCCAGGGACACTTGTGTGCTGCTGGGATGAGCTTGGCAGAACTGCTGGGATCTGGACAGACCCCGGTGCTGCACGGGCTGGGCACAGCCCACGTGCACATCTCCAGCCTTGTGCAGACAAGTGTAGGGCAAGAGTGTTGGTTAGGACATGAGATGCTGTTCCATCCCTCTGCATGGCACGTGCAGAGCCTTGTTATTGAGGGCAGGAACTGAATTATCCCGTGTCAGCAGGCCTGGAACCCTCCACACACGTACCTGAATAATGCGATCCCCTTCCCGGAGCCGCCCGTCCTTGGCAGCGATGCTGTTGGGATCGATCTACAAAACAAGGGAACTGTGAGTGCTCTGCAGGTTTGGGAGCTCAGGATTTGCTTCCCCAGTGTTGGTAACATGACTGATGGTGTAACCAGTGTGCCTGTCATTGCTGCTCCACCCGTGCTTGTCACATCTGCCCCAGTGACTACAGGACTTCTCCCTGCTCATGTCAGACAAAGTGAAATGCAAATTAAAATGATCAAGTCAATCCCAAAACGTTTCTGAGCATCCTGAGCCGCATCTTCAGGGAATGTAGGTTTATCACATTTGCCTGGTATCAAGTTAACTCAAATTTTAACACTTTGCTTCACACAGTGCTCTGATTAGAACCAGTTTTTGCATACAGAACAGGAAGGATTATTTGCTAAGCGGGCCATTTTAATGGAAGATTTTAGATTTAGTTATGAGTTTCTTTCCCCAAACTGCTGCTATTAATTTTGTTAGAGATCTGTATGATAAAAAGTTGATGTATAAAATGCTACTTATTTCGTGGAAGGGAGCAAAAAGAGACAAATGGACCTCAAATATTTGCAAATGAGAATGTGTGGATTTTTTTTTTTAATAATTTGTACTGATTCCGGAATAATTAAGAACAAAAACTAATAGAGGGAATATATTAAAAATACTTTGAAGGCATTATCTGAAATTGAATGCTGAGACTGTGTTGGGGGAAAATGAACACTAAATGTATATATAACCAAGTTTGACTTCAGTGGGTGCAGGACTTTGGAGAAAAGGAAAACAATTAGATTTCTTCAAATTACTGCACTCTGGCTGTTTTTTCTAACATGGTAAAAACAGAAGACAAATGTCTTAAATGCCCAACAATCAAGTTTAAAAGACAAATTGTATCTTATGGAAATCAGCTCAATCTTACCTCACTCACATAAATCCCCATGTCATCTTCATCATCGGTCCTGTAACAGACAGTGAGGCCAAGCTTGTCCTGGCTGTTCACTCTATGTAAATCGACTTCCTGGGGTTTAAAAAAAGAGAGATAAAGGAAAATACACCGTCAGTGAGACACCAGTGACTGATGGAAGCAATTTTTCAAATACAATGAAAATATTTTGCTTAAGTGATATAGTGGATCTCTTTTCATTTCACTTGTAGATGAGGTTAACTTACTGAGCAAAACGCGATTATATGCAGACAATCAATACCTGGGGCATTTTTGACCCTTCAATCAATATGAAGTCATTTTAAAATTAGACCTTTTATTGATCTTAAGGAAGAAAAATTACCTATATTTCATGTTGTGGTAAGACTTCAAAGGCTAAAATACTTATAAAGTATGATTTCAATATTTGTCACAGCTGATACATATTTCCTTATAAGCAGGGAAATTCTCTGGCTTTTCAGAGAAAAATATAATGCTCTATTACCTTAAACTGTATAATTTTCATAAGATGATCTAATAAGTTTCTCAGAAATGTGACTGGAGATCAATATATTCTCAGCAAAGCATTTGGTATTGGTAATAGAAATATAATAAGCACTTCAGTATCTTTCAAGGGTTTGGTTTCAGCAGGTCATGGTGGTCCTGTTAGTCTTGGAGATGTTTAAGCATCTTAAAAATACGTGTTCTTCCTCTATGTTTCTTTTGCCAGGAAGAATTCCTGAGGAGACAGCTGTGGGGCTGAAGGGAAAAAGTGGGACCAGGCATAGGGACAGAGACTGAGGAAGAGGAGGATCGAGGCCTGTCCCAGCCCCAGGACAGACCCTCCACCACGTGTTTGTGCTTGGACCCATTGCTCCAGTGGAAAAGTCCTGATAACACAACTCCTCATCCCTGCACGTCTCTGTTGCGACCCACGCTGTGCCATTTGGAAGGGGCAAGACAATAAAACGAGCTGATGTGAATAATTTATCGGCGCGTCTGGATGACAGCTGCCAAGATCAGCAATCTCGTGTTATTTACTTGTCAACATGTGTAATTTCTCGTCTTTTTTTTTTTTTTTCCCCCTAAAGAAACGTAGCTGTAAATGTCAGTGACATTTCAGCTGGTATTTAAGTGGTTTCAATCAATAGTATCCATGGTGAACTGCTGCGCTTTTTCTCCCTCTTTTGTTACTTAAAGGTTTGAACACAATGCTTTAATAGTGGTGTTTTTTTTTTTTTTTTCAGATTTCTAAAACTTTCTAGAGAGGAGATGGAGATTCTTCCATCTTCCATTCTTCTCATCCAGAAAAGATGAGATCAAGTGGATTCAATTCTGATCTCAGCTGATCCTTGGGAATGCCACTGCAGCCAAGGTGTTTATCCTGCACTTAATCATGGAGTGAACTGGGGATGAGGTGGGATTGGGTTTGTGGATTGGGCCTGATTCAGGTCTAGAATGATTCCCATGTTCCCTGCATACTTAACAAAAGTATTTCATGTCTTCAGGAATGTTTTTATGTACTTTACTGATTTGAAAACATGGTAATGAAATGGTGGCAAGAAACTAATGCTGTTCATTCTATTGCTTGTCATACTGGCAGTGAAAAAATATACATATAATGTTAACATTCCCCCCAAAACAAACAGAAAAATATGGTGACTTTGGCCATTATTTAAATACATCCTGTGTAACCACAAACACTTGCCAGCACCTTTAGGAGTTGAAGGAAAGCAGGGAGCAGGCTGTTTCATTTACCTGCCACCTATTTTGACTAAACAATAGGTGTTTTTCCAATAGTGTACAACTATAAAGGGTATCATAATTAAAAATAAAGTATGGATTTGCATTTAAAATGTACCCTCCGAGACACCACCTGTGATATACTGGAAGGTAATAAATCATCTGGTAAATTAAATAATATATATATTTTAAAAGGAAAAAAGATAGTTGTTTAAAAACACACAAATAAAGAACAAAAAAAGCCAGAGCAAACAAAATATTTATAGAGCAGGTGTTTAGAACCTGAATTTTTATGAGTAATTAGTTGACAGACTTACTCTTGGGTAGAATCCCTCTAGTCCTTGGTGGGAATAGAGTAAGTGGGTTTGATGCTACCCAAACATGATAATTTTATGAATTCAAAGACAGGAACAGCTGCTTTCTACGGGTCTTTGTGTCAGGGAAGTTTTAATGCAATCATAAAAGTTTGAAATATTTGAGAGATAAAAGTGTGCAATTCCAGTTGGAGTTGAAGAATCAACACCAGGGTCTTCAAAGCAAAGGCTTTTTTTCCATATTCCGAGGTGAGCCTGTGTAATGCAGAGATACATGAAAAGGGGAAAACAGAAAACTGGCACCTACAAATACAGGTTTTATGGCAGCTTGTGTAAATGCATCAGGAAATGATTAAATGAGAGGAATTAATGTGGGCCTAGAGAACTTCGAAGGTGTGAGTTGATGTGTTTGCAACGCCACAGGACTTGCCAGTTCTTACTGTTCTGTCTCAAGGGCTGCATTTCTGGGCAGCTCAGGGGCCTGATCCTGCCAGCTCTCAATGGTTCTGTGCTCCTGCTGCTGGACTGCTTCCAGAGCCTCTGCCAGGCACCGGATTAGTCTGGAGATGAAAGTGTATTTAGTGCTCAGCCGGGGCTCAGATACTATTGAAATGAACTGTATAAACCCCTCAGCCACCAGCCCTGCAGAAGGGAGACACTGAGGTTGTTCAACACCTGGTCTGGAACCGCAGAAACCAGCTGGCAGGCAACGGTGGAACCCACAAAGTGTGGGAATGTCAGGGCTGTGTTAATGTGATAAATGTAAGAATTTCATCTATGACAATTTTTACGCTCGCAGATGATTCAACTCTGCTTCTTCAGATCAGGTAAAAGTGACATTTTGAGAGACGTTCCAGAGGAGGATTTGGATGCTCTTTCAAAATAGTTTGTGCAAGAGAACTGTCTGAAAGGTTATTGGCTCCTCATCAAATGCAGAGCCAAGGAGGGCTCAAAGAGCTGGTTGCTGAAATCCATATGGCATTTGCACGAAGACAAGATGAAATGAACGTGCCCTATGACATTATACCTGCAACTACTCATAATAATGAATTAGGAGCAAGTGATAATAGTAAATTAACCTCTATAAGCTCAGAAGATCCTTCATTTGCAAAGGATTATTGAATTATTATACTGCTGATTTAGAATTATGGCCTGCCTGCAAATTTATAAAAATCAAAGTCCTTTCTCTAACAAGACAGAAATGAGCAGTAGAAATCTGAAATGAGAGGACAGAGATGGGTAAAAAAAGTTCAAACATTGACAAAGCCTTACCCACAGCTTGCAGGGTAAGTACTCTGTCCCTTCCCTCTCTCTGTGAAATGTGGTAGGATTTTTTTCTGTGCTGACCTCTGACATACCTGACCAGCAGGGCCCACTTTTTTGCTATTCCATTAATAGGTTTCACAGAGAAAAGAATGTCAGGGAAATAAAGAACTATTTCCTTTTATACTGTGTGAGGCCTCATCACCACTTTTTAGCAACTGACCTTGGTACAGCAGGAGGAAAAATCTTGTTCTTGCTGTCTTGAACCTAAGAAAGGGATCTTTACACTTAGTATTTTCACATAAATGTGCTTTTCACCATGGGTAAAAAGCAAAAACTCCACTCTTCTGCTCTTCAGAGGAGAAAATTTTATAAACCACATTTTCTTTCCAAAATTCTTTGCCCTAGAGAAGAAGCAAAAATCTCTCTGGAGATTTCTGTGCCCACTCAGCTCTATGATGGTCATTCTATGACAGACCACAGAGACTGGACCAGCTTTAGTCATCAGTGGTGCTGGGAAAGGCTAAAGAAAAGTGTTTCTCACCCTGATGAAAAGATGTTTGTGATAGTAGGATAACTTGAAGGATGCCCAGGCTCTCTGCCAAGCAGATGGGCAGTGGTCCATGATTTAGACCTTTCTCATGCAGTATGAGATATTAAGGCCAGGTTTAAGCCCTCCAGAGAACTAAGGAAGGACAGCCTTTCAGTGCTGGCTTGTGAGCAAGCTGAAATGTTTCACCACTTTTGCATTTGTTCCAAACAAAGAACATACAAATATTTGCCTTAGAAAGTACAGCTGTGAAGCTTTTTAAACCTTTACATATTCAATCACTGCCTGAAGCAGGCCTGGGCTGCAGTCCTTTGTATTCAGAGACACAGCAATGCCTTGAGAAGCTCCTGATCTGTGCAACTCCCTGCAGAGAGGGAGTTTTCATAGAGAAAAAAATGTATTCACATAAAAGATGCTTTGAAATGCTTTACAACCAGGACGGAATAAAAATTGCAGAGTGCCTGTGATGCAGCCTACCAATTCCCACGTTCAGACAGTTACCTCCTCCCCTCCCCTGCAAACAGATTATTGGAGAAGTAAAAGAAAGATTTCAACCAAAGCAGCAAAGTGTAGCGAAGGGGAGAGCTTGAGAACCTGGTACTCAGATTTTATTTATGGTTTCCTAAAGCAGCAAAGTCTTAATTTCAGATTTTGAAGCACAGGTTCGGTCACTTGGTATGTTCATTTTTTGGCTGATCAGCTGTTGTGGTTTCATGCTGGGAACACTGGGAGCTGTGCACCAGGTGGGCAAAAAGCTCTTTGAATGAATCTGTTGTCCTCCTTCAGCTTTTTGACATGAGCACTTCATGTCTGTCCAAGGCTGAGTGAGAGCATCAGAAGGAAATATCTCAGCAGTTACCAAACATTTCGTGTTTTCATCTTCAAGCTCTACTGAGTCTCAACCAACCACTCAGCTGAGTTCAGTTCTCTACTTGGAAAGAAGGAAGACCTACATACAAGTTGCATATTGGAAAGGGTGAAGACAGAAAGTCAAAAGGGAGGGAACAAGCCCCTTTTTGATGTAGAATGTTCTCCTTTGTAATGTGAGAAAGTTACACTGAGAGAGCCCTGGCTTGGGCTGTGTCTGACAGCTGGCCAGACTTGTTTGAATAAACATATTAATGCATAACACTGCTGGGGAATCCTGGAGTGACATTATTCTTCCTTTATGAGCCTGAAATGACTTCTAGCTGGGCCTCCATGAAGAATGAATGTACTTTTAATTTATAATAAAACAGGAGTTCAGGATTTAGTCCCTCTTTACTTGTGACATGTAAACTTCTAAAGAAAAGAAAGGGTATTTATTTATTTTTGTAATAAGGAATATATGGCAGTTACCTCTGAGTCATCAATTTTAAGATAAATGTTGAGAGAGAAAACCAAGAATACAATTTTGGCATCTCAGCAATACTGCCAACATAAATTCCTTCCTATGGATATTTACATTAGAAGCTTGTTGTGAACTTGGGTATTTCACCTTTTTTGTCTTGTTTACTTGTTACAAATCACTAACCAGTCAGCTACAGACCATAAAAGTTTAGATGAGGAGCTTCTGATTTAAATTCAAAGCACATTTTATGGACAGAGAAACCCAGAAGTCTGACTTGATGGCTTTCTTACTTTCGACATTCCTGCTGCAGTCAATGAAACAGTGCCTTTGTGGTCTTTTAAAACATATCTATCAAAAGGCAAACGAAAAAGCAACCAGCCAGTTGAGTCCCTGTTAGCACTTTGACCTTACCATTGATCATAGTCTTTATAATTTGAACAGGAATCTTTAGTGGTTTTTAAGAAATACTATTAGGGTACAGAGACTTTTCTAATGTTCATCTCCCTGTGTTACTGAGCTGATCACCTTTTGCCATCAAGTACTATATCAATGTCAAAATTATTAATGCTGTGGTTTAAGGCATATTAACGTTTGGCTACTGGAGTGTGTGTTTTTAAACTGTTTTCAGCTCAACTGGTTGACCTTTTAATGGAAGCAATATAACTTATCCACAATATTAGATTTCCTAAAAAATAGATTTTGGAAAGACACTGGTAGAAAACACTGATTTGTTCTACATTTTCCTTTAAGACTCAAATCTATACTGTATTTGTTTTTATATAAGAGAAAAAAAGGCCCTTGTTTGAAAAGTGAGGCCTTGAAGTCTGCTAAGTAGCATTTGTTTTACTGGCACTTTGATTTCACCCTGCCTTTGATTTAGGTTTGTATACAGAGATGAATTGCTACCAGATCTGCAGAATCTGAAAACAGCTTGCAAACTTTTTTATGGGGTTTTAGTCCTTGATCCTGCAAACACTTTTACAGGAGGGAACAACTTCGTGCTCATAGAACGACTGAACTCTGCTCTCACTGAAGCTGCTGATAAATCCACCCCTGATTTAAACAGAGCTACAGGCAGGTCAGCATTGCCTGCTTTGACAAATAGGTGTTAGCAGGACCAGGATCTAAGAAATCAGAAGTGCAAGCCAGCTAAGGGTAAACTATTCACTTGATATCTTGGATAGATTAGCTGGGTCAGACATAGCTGGCAGTGTTTATAAGTATTGGGATATTTTACTGCTATTTATTGCAAATGATTAAAAACACTTCACTGGGTCAGTACTGCTTAAGTATCTTGCAGAACTGTGGCCCACAATTTATGTGCTGTGCTCTGAATGGCTGGGAGCAAGTTATTTAAGCATGAGAAAACTGAAGATGAACTTCTGATGGGATATACAAGTGCTAAAAGCAAAAGTGACTTTTAAAGATTTGGCAGGAAAATGGACTTGCATACTTTAGTGACTGGTTCAGCTTTTATTATCTGTAATTTCATATATATACATATGTCACTTTTAAGTAATGAAAAAGGGAGGGACAGCTTAGTATAGTGGCAAATCTATCCTGGTCTTGTCTTGTAAACTTAGCATACTTCTAAACTGTATGATCAAGAACATCTGTTTCTCAGCTGGGGAATATTTAAGAGAAACTCACACATTTTTGCTGTGGTTATGTGGAACAGGTCCTGCCACTCAGCAGAGTCTTTCAGAAAGCCTAAATCAGCACAGTTACACGGAATTTAATTAATGGAATCAATGACTTCATTATTTATGGTAATTTGTTGGCTGAAGATCATCAGTCCCTGGCTCACAGTTCAATGAACTGCTAAAGGTACCAGCAAGGTTTGCAGCTGCAAAGTCACCGGTGAGCAATGTTATCCCAAATATCTGCTTTGAAATGTCTTTTCACTTTATGTGCAATACAAGGACCAAGACATGCACATGCTAAACTATCAGTAAATCAGAGCAAGTACCTCTAATTCCAGCTCATCCCGGTCCATTTCTTGATGAATTCCTCCCATGTAGTCATTTGGATCATAGTATTCATGCACTGATGGATGGCTGGAAAAAAAAAAAGGTATGTTTTAGGACAGCACTCAGTGCTCTAATGAGCATGTTAATGCATTCCAAGCTCCTAAGGAGCAATCATGACCATGATGGACTAATCACCACACCAAGGAGTTGCATGTGCTTAATTCTAAATGCTACACCATCTAGACCACTAAGTGTTTTAAACAAAAATTGTATGTATTGCAAGAGGACAGCCTGCTGCTTTTTACAGCTTCAGCTCTCCCACACTTTCATTGTCTATACTTTGGAAGTTCAAGCAGTGTGATGCTCTTGTGATCACTGTTTTCTGTGCTGGAATTCTTTTCTGCAGTGAAAGTAAACTCCCTTTAATTCTCTGTTAACTAGATACATCTCTGAGGCTATTTATGTAACAGCATCTGCTAATTGGCTAAAATACCCAAGTTGTTAGAGGCAGGGTAGATTAATCTGGATGGGATTCGGAGAAGTTAGAGGAAGCATTAGGAAAAATGACTGTTTGCTTGCACATGCTGGGTGACAGGATACTGGAACAGCTGCCTGCCTGCTCTCACATGTCGGGATAGCCACGAGATGGGCTGTGTGGGGAAGACCAACATCTCCAGCTCTGAGTAAGGATGCTGCTGATGCCAGGAGTTTGTATCTGTCTCATGATTAAGGAGCATTATGAAGTTGATAGGGCTGAGCTGGAAGAATGCAGGCATGTTGCAACCTAAATCATAGAATTACAGTTTGGTTTGGCTTGAAAGGGACGTTAAAGATCATCTACTTTCAACCCCCATGCCATAGGCAGGGACACACACCTTCCACTAGACCAGACTGCTCAAAGCCCCATCCAACCTGGCCTTGAACACTTTCAGGGATGGGCATCCACCACCTCTTTGGGAAACCTGTTTCATGGCTTCACTCCCCTCACAGGGAAGATTTTAATCCTAAATGATTAATCAGGAATTAATATTTGCCATTTTCCTAATGTAACTGGTTTTGAAGTTGGCAAGTTGCAGGTACTGAAAATCCCTCTCACAGATGTGGTTGGGGATGTGCAGGGTCAGGGCTCTAAGAATAATCATGTCCTCTCCACAGTGCTCTTAAGCCCTGCTGTTTGTTCGCTGCAAGAAAGCTCAAATACAGGCTTTTGTCAAATATTTCCACTAAATGGTGCTGCTGTGCTTGGATTTTCAATGGGCTGGGAACAGGTGGCCATGCAGGAATATCTGCTGGAACCATCTTTCAAGTATCAGCAGAGTCACGAAAGGAACAGACACTGCACACAGAATCCCAGTTCCTGCCTGAATGTGGGAATGTTAACATGCCATGAAATGTTAACATGCTCCTCCACTGAGGAGCAGCACAGCATCAGTGCCTGTTTGTAGCCAAACCCTATTTCCTAGGAGTGCTGACAGGGATGTCTAGAGAGGTGCACTGGGGTGGTGTGTGTGTGTATTGATGGATAATTCCCCTCCCAGAGTGGTCCTGCACACCAATCCTGCCTCTCACTGTGTGCAGGATCACCCCAGAGCCAGGTACTGCTGTGCCTTGACCACATCAGCCTCTGACACACAGCAACTGAGACAGTCAGAATCCTTTCTGTCCCTTGTTCCCTGTGGAGATGCGTGGCAGGATGACAGGCAATTTGCAGGGGTTCCTTGGGGAGCTGTTTTCCTCTCGAACAGCATGTGAGGGCGGGGGGCGTGTGCGCCAGGAGATAATTGTCATTTGTATTTGTAAGTACAAAAGCATCAAATTACCATTAACAATAATTAAAATTTGATTCTAAAACATCCTTGACAACACTGGTAAGTAATTTTAGCCCTAGAAAACAACTTATTTGAGTAACAGCGCTGCAGGGTTATAATAAAGTAATTAATACGCTGGAACAGAATGTAGCGGCTCTTAGCATTACACAATTTATGGCAGCCATAAAAAATAAAGTTAAAACATAAGCAACCCAAAGAGGCAGTGAGAGGAATTACAAAATGCAATAACTTTATCCATCAAATGCCAGCAAAAAAAATGAGCTTTATGAGGCCATGTTGTGACTCAGTGGCATTACTCATGTGAGTAATGGCTTGCTAATGTGAAGGAAAAATGAAAATGCTGTGAGTTATGGCTGAATGGTTGTATGGATCCTGGCTGCTCCTGGGAGCACACGTTCACCAGCAAGTGAAGGTGAGTTTGTGAACTATACTAAGGAACACAAGGATTTTTCAAGGGCTTCACAACTGTGACTTACTCTTCAGGCAGGAGGTACGGGTCCAGCACGGAGACGGGAGGGGTGGGAGAGCCCATCTTGCTCAGAGCCATGATGTGTTCGAAGGTGATGTCTGTCTGGGTGCCCACATCCACCAGCTGGGAGTCATGAGCAGGAGGGAAGGCCTTGGAGCGCGGGGTCCTCCTCAGCACCTGCACCACAATGGGCTCCTTGGCTGTTTTGAAAGCCTCCACCGCCTGCTCGTGCGTGGCCTTGGACAAATCCTTCCCATTGACCTGCAGGAGAGAGGCACCGTCAGCGAGTGCAGGATGCCCTTGTTGGCTTGGGCTGCTTATCTACAAGTCTCAGCTTCCAACTCAAGGTATTTGCAGCCAGTGCTAAGAATGATTTCTGCACTGTTGTGCATCTCTCATTTTCCCCTTTCACTACAGTAACTTTACAAATCCTCTGCTCTGTTTTTTGTTTTGATAAGATTTTACCAGGCCTGCTCTTTGAGCTGAATTACAAGCCAGCATCCCATTTGTTTCTTGCAGATTAGAAATCCCTCAGCCCTTGTTCAAATAGAACAAGTTATTCATTCTCCTGTAATTTTTCTAGTTTTTGTTTGTTTTTTTTTTTAGTCTTGTAACCTTTTTCCTGAACAGAACTGAAATTACAATACTATGTTTTTGTGTCTGATAAACAATTGTTCAGATGAAAAATGATGGTGGTACTCAGTCACTGCAATAAAACCCCTCCATTTTAGGGTAGTGAACAGAAATAATACTAAACATGCCAGGCCTTGGAAGATGGGGGTCTGAGAAGAAAATTAGGACACAGGTCCCTCCCATCCCAAAGGAGTAGTGAATCTTTTGTTCACAGGAGCAAACCCAAAATGAGACATTCAGTTCCATACACAGATTCAAATCTTTGGCAATCAGAGGTGTCATTCCTGATCCAGAGAGAGGCCTTGAGCCCTCCCAGATCATTGTGGCTTTGCATTTAGCTCACACTTCCTTCCTTCCTCGCATGGTTTCTAATGAATCCTTCCCTAAGTCTACCAGGGGCAGTGAAAGAGATGAGCTCATATTTGTCAGAGTTTTTATAAAGCTGCCAAACCACAATTCTCATTTTGAGTTTTGGTTTGTGAGAAATTTCAATGTTTCTGTGTCTCTCTGACTGCAAGATTTGTAATTTTAAGAGAGCTAAACACAATGAACAGCGCGGAACAAACTCCAAAAGGAGTTCAGTCCTGTGTTTAAAGGACTGAATATATGTTTACTTCTGGCTGTTTCCAGCCTTAAATGGAGATCTGGTTTGTTTGTTGAGAAATCTGAAAATCCAAAAACTCTATGGGCTTACATGCAAAAAAATATGTTACAGACATGGTGGGAAACACTGGTAACTCTAGTTTTTATCTCTTCTAACCTGAAAACTGTTGGCAATTTAATACAGGTGGAAGAAAATAAAAACAAACAATTACAGAGAAGCTGCCCAGAGTAACTTGTTTGTGCAAGCTGATAGTGAAATTACAATCCTAGAGCATCATGCTATGGTGGATCTGTTACCATGTTCTTTGGACTGGGACAAGTGTTGGCTGGCACAGAGATAAACTGCAATCTGAGATGCTACTGGCACTGACAGTGAGAGCCCCTGTGGTATCAGTCCTTCTCATCAATTCTTTATTTCACATCATTCTTCCCTGGGAGGGTGGGGAGGCCCTGGCACAGGCTGCCCAGAGAAGCTGTGGCTGCCCCATCCCTGGATGTGTCCAAGGCCAGGTTGGACGGGGCTTGGAGCAACCCGGGCTGGTGGAAGGTGTCCCTGCCCATGGCAGGGGGTGGGATGAGATGGTCTTTAATGTCCCTGCAACCCAAACCATTCTGTGATCAAGGACCATACTTTGCCTATATATCTTTATGAATGATGCCTTACACTGTACTCTTCCCAGTCAGACACTGTGCACTTGATAATCTGTATTATTGTATCCATAACCACAGGTGTGAGTCTCACAGTGGCAATGACTGCTTTCTGCACAGAAAAGTAACATATTTTTTCCAAGGCATAAAAATAATGAATTGCCTTGATTGGACACAGTTACTGTAGCCTCAGGTGCTACTGGTGGTTGCTGCTTTGTCATTTAATCATTTTGTACATGTCTGAAACGTGCACTAATGTGGTGACTCTGCCACATTAACTTCTTGAATATGATTGAAAACGCTAAAATACATGTCCAGATTCTCTCATCTTTACTTCTATCACACTGCCCTTAGTTCACACTGTGCAATGCCACGTTTAGTCTCATTAAAGTAAGTGGGGTACTGAATGAGTAACATTACTCAGCCAGTAACTAAATTTAGCCCATACTTAACATATTGCCCACAGCAAAAAGCTGGGTGCTAATAAAGAGGGTTAGCTCGAGTGCAGAATAGATTGAAAAGGCTAAATTCCTGCTGAATTACCTTGTGCACATAACACTTCTTAGGCTGTCATCTTTGGTTTATCTTAGAGGGGTGATGACACCAGGTTTTTTGTTAAGCCAGCTGAGAGTGGAAGGTGTTAGCATTTATGTTACAGAAACACTTGCACAGCACAGCACTGCTCACAGTAACACACAGCATGTAAAGTTTGGCCTGGTCAAATTAAACATCATTAACTCGCCCAATTGAGCAGATTACTTTAAAAGAGTTTGTACAGCTGTAAAATTCAGTTCAGCGTAATGTTTTCTCTGGAAAAAAAGGAAATGCTGATTATGGTTTGAGTTTTATTATTTGCTGCAAATTAAACGTTGTACGTTTTACTGTGTGCATCCCATTTTTTTTTTTTTTTTTACAACTAAATGCAACAAGCAATCAAAAGAAAAGAATCTAAATTGCAGTATGTAGCGTTTTTCAGAAATGTGCTCAGAATAACTCCTGAACAGGAAACTATTCATATGAGATGCTTTCTACATCTTTATGGTAAAACCTGGCAAAATCCCGCAAAGGACAGATTTCCAGTTTATTCCCAAAATTACAATGAACTTGGATCACAGTTTAGTACAGGCCTGCATTTTAGTTTAGGTTCCTTAGGGCACTTTATTTATGCAAACCCATGGACTGGCATCCTCTTTGTGCTCTCCTATGTAATTGTTACATAAATAACCATAACTTTAAAGACAGGTTGATGTCACGCAGGAAACAGGCAACAGTTGGACTCTATCATAAATTGTTGCTACAGGAATTATTTCCAAGTAGTTTCCCGACTATGTTTTCTGCAGGCTGATAATGCCATAAAAAAGAAGTGCTGCACAGCCAGGCAGAAGGACACAGAACCAGATTTTAGAACTGAGGAGAAGAGCCAGCTAAATTTCAATGTAAACCCTCTCCTCCTGCAAAGGGGACCTCGTGTAGAGAAGGTTTGTGACTTTTGGTTGGTAAATTAATAACTCTAAAAGCAGATCTATATTTGATGTGAATACAATTTTAAATCATGGGTTTGGTACGATGGCAATGATTACAGTAAAATGAAAGCATAGCTCACTGAACTCCTGTTATTATGGGTTTCTTAACCCACTGCTAAGATATGGCTGGGGAATTTGTCTCTAAAATTAGTAATTCTATGAAAATTGGTAGCACCCACATCATATCAGGCAAACAGTTCTCTGGACAGTGGCTGTCACATGATGAATGGTCTTGGGGTCAGCCCATGGATCCCGTACAAGAGACTGATTCCAAACTCCAGCTGAGTGGAATCCTTTTAGCCCTGCAGGTTCCTGTTGTGAGCAGCAGCCTTGGCCACTGGTGGCTGCTGACCTGTGAGGTGTGGTCAGAACTGCACTAACAGAGTGAGCCTTGATGGGCTGCACAGACATCACTATTAACCATTTAGATCCTGAATGTGGAACAACGGAGGAATATGCAATGATGCAAAAATATGCTTTAAAGTGGTTTACAGCAGGGAATTACACTGTCTGAACCTGGCTCCTAAAAACCTGCAGTAACTGCCACATTATGTGGTAAATATGGAGCAGTAAATAGTTTGTAATTACTTTTTTTCAGTATTTTCCATCCCACCACACAAATAATACAATTTTCCATTGAAGGACATGAGGATGGGAGAGTTAAATATTTGGATAATAAAAAGCAGCAGTTCTCAAGTCTGCTTATGTTTAACAGAGATAAATTGCTTTTTGGTCTAGAAAAAGTAGCAGGTATCGGTATTTTATTTTTAGCAGCAGAAAAATCACATGGAAGAAAAATATACTGGGATCATCTCAATGGTCTGATTTCTGGGGTCTGTGTACAGTTAGTACTCGTGGCTAATCCTGAGCCTAGCAAATGAGTGATACTAAGATGTTTTCTTTCTATATTGAAAATTTGTCACAATTGACAAACAATTACTGCCAGTGCTTAAAAGCCAATAAATATATCTGTACAGCCTTGCTTTGTTAAAAAAAGGTGCCTTTATATTCATAGACTTTATTCCTAATGCTGCTGAATTGTGCTCAACAATTTTTTTCCTTATAGTTACATCTGAAATAACACAGAAAAAAAAAATCATGCATATGAATGCTTCAGAAGACTGCCAAAAACTACAAATATGCATAATTTCTTAGGAAAATGCCATGTGACAGAGACAATGGGATCTTTCATGGCACAAAAGATGGATAAATTAACTTGTCTGAAATGGTGAAATGCTTAGCTTTTGGACCTTCTTAGCATTGGGAATATACTGAATATGGAGAAAGCTGTAGTTAAACTGCAGTGTCTGGACTTAAAACTGAGCTGAATGGACCCTGATGAAATCTGTGGTGGAGCCAGATAGTAGCTTTAGCCACTGCATGAGACATGGAGATAAATACTCTGAATTAAGGCCAGACAGTAAATAAGGAAGGTATACTTCACTTTTTAAATAGAAACTATGTAATGATTATGAAATAGAATAATATTTATAGTATTTTTAATTTATACTATAAACTGTATGTTATATTCTTCTGCACACAAGCAGGTTGCAGAGAGGATGCCACTAAAATCTACATTGTAAAGGCAATGAGAAATCTATAGATAAACACAGCATAATCCTGTCAGGGAGGTTTGTGTCTCGTGGAAGTTTTCCTTTAATACTTGGAATAAAAATAAAACAGTCACCTGAACTTGATTTGATGCTCACTAAAGTGCCTGGGAGTTTTGCCTTTGCAAAGCCTCAGTTCAGGCTCTGACTGGGAGATGCACCAACAGCAAAGTGAGATGTTAGGGAGCAGAGCGTGCCATTGGCATTCCATTGGCATGGCCAAACTGGGATACTGGCATGGAAAATG